GTATTATTCAAAATTATCTCTTCGCGCATATCAGAATAGTTAAGACCTTTTCCTTAAGCTTAAGGAAAAGTTTTTTGTAGATAGAATAATAAACGTTTTGTTCAAATCATAAAATTATTTGGTCTCATGAACTGTTGAAGGTTTCAAGATTTCTATATAAACAATTAAAGAGTTTATAAAATTTTTACAATGAGTAAACGTTTATTCTTTCACAGCTTTTCTAAAACAAGCTCTATAATCTGTTTATATCGGTAGCTATTAGCTAACTCAAAAAGGATATATATAAATAAATGATTGAAATCAGCCAAGAGATAATAAATATCATTCTGAGACATGATATATTTCTTTTTATAGTTAAGTTTCTTCTACTTAGCCTCTCGCTATGCTCACCAATTCCCTTTTGGCTTCTTATTTCTAGAACTGACCAAAAGATTACTCGTTTTAAAGTAATAGAGACGATGCTCTGGTTTAAAAAAGTTATTTTACGGCTACAACGTATCGTTCATTGCTTTACCATCATTATTCTATGTTACTAATACGTATGCTTTCGCGTATCACTAAACATTGGAATAGACTATTGAAGAAAGATATGTGAGTCGTATCTTGTATCTTGTTACAAAAGTATAATTAAGACTAGATATAAGATGTTCCGAACATCGTCATCTTTGATTGAGATGACATGAAAGATGAGGCCTGTAGATTTTATATATTGTGATCGTTTTTACGTATAAATTTAATAAAATATATAAGTCGATAACAGAAATCAATGAAAATATTAACTATCTGTGTATGAAACAGTTATTTTTTCTACTTATGTGTTACGTCACCCAGGTTCCACTAGGTTTATCATGAAGTGATTTCGAACTCGAATTACAGTGATAACATTTATCAAATTTTTATTTGCATTCATAGCTATTCTACCACAGTAGTTCTCACCAACATTAGTATGATAACCGAAAAAAGTTTGCTCTGGATTTAGCTGAGAACTAACCTGATGTTCTTTACCTTTCCCCTACTCTAACTAGATAGTACTTCAATTATCATTCTAATCAAACGGAAATTCATCTTCATCTTTTTCTTTACTCTTTAAGATTAGACGATCGATAAATTATAATTATAATTGAATTAAAGCTTTCTTTGCGCTTCTTAATATTCCTACACGTTAGTCCCTACTTCAATTCTGATGATAACAGACATCAAATTTCTATTTGCACCTTTGTCTTTTCTACCAGAATCGTTCTTATCAATAGTGCATTTGCTCTTGAAAAGAATATACTTTCTTTGTACTTTTGCTTTCTCTAATACAATATTCTTTGCTGAATTTATAATTAATCCATGGATTAAAAGATCTTTCAAGAGACCACCACAAGCACTGCTTCAAAAAAGGATATTCCTATATTGTCCAACAGGATTCAGCGATGTATAATAATATTCAAATATAAATTCTCTTTATTGTTTTTCTTATTCTAACATGATAGTATATACTTGAATTATCATCATTGCCTTTATCTCTTTTATACAATTATATCTATGATCAAACTCAGACTGGATTTTATCTTTTTGCTCATTATTACAGATTAGTCCTAACTTCAAATATAATACAAATGAATCGATATTCTATTTTTTGTCTCTTCCGTTTTCTAAAAGTATAGTCCTTACTTCGATTATTTTTATAACTGAATTAAATTGGTCTAGGACTTTTTGCTCATTCTAATAGATTATTTCGGATTTCAAACATAAATATAACAAAAAAATATATTTCTATTCACTTTCTAGCTTATACCGTAATGATAGTCCTAACTTGGCTTATAATTATAGTGAAAGTAAAATTTATATCAGTTGTATTTGATCATCATCGAGTGTGGATGTCGATGTGGATTAAAAGAAGGTTGGTATTCATGTCCGAATTCCGATATCACTACACACTTCACTACCTCGGACTATTTTCGACTTCCAACTTGAGAACCCTAATTAGGTAAAAGTCAGTTAATCAACTCTCGGACTGCCTAAATTCCGAACATGAAACAAGTGGCTGGGTAAAAACTTTATCGAAATAACATGTAGTAACTAAAATTTCACTACCGAAAACCCAGACTAGCTCATAGTTTGGTAGAGAAAACGTGGAGCCGACCGAGACTTATAGCTTAGAAAACCTTCATTGTGTGAGAGTTCGATAGCGAAAACATTCAACTGTCTAAAATTTCAAGCTGAACAACCTGATGAGACAGCATAGAAACTTCAACAACACTTGATGACACGATGGTTTCCAAGCAATTAATCATCGCCTTGAATACTTGCTCTACACTAATATTAAGTCATGGGAATATGTAGAGTGTGGGTATGGTGGGTGTGTGTGGATGTGCATGAAGATAAAGAGAAAATCAACACTCACACCCTACACCACATCTACACTTACCCTCAAACATAATATAAGATTAACTTCATGTATTACATTTGTTTTCTTCAATTGAGGTCTGCACAGACCTCGAATTGGCAACAACTGTCAGTCTTTAAGGTTGGCATATCAAAATTAATAACTAATTCAAGTTAGTAGATAACACAATGCGGAAGAAACAAAAATCTCAAACAATCAGTTTGTAATCAGGTCAGTAATAAATGAATGAATAGATCTGATGAAATATATTAAGTCTTCAAGGTTTCTAAGCCATACAAATTCTCGGTGTCTATTGTGACAAAACTAAAAACTAATGACGTCATAATTAAAAACACAGCATTACAACGGTATAGGAAAGGGAAAAATGTCTAACAAGCATAAAATGACTATAGCTCCAATTTGATAGAGAGTAAACAATAATGACAAGTGTCATTCGGTCAAAAAATATGTATGTTAACAATAATTTATTAGAATCAACAACAAGCTAGAGACAATTGCTCAAAAGTCGAAACTCTTCTAATTGTTGAACTATGGCTAGAACCAACAAGTGTTCATTTAAATTTTTTCCGCGTTTAAATAGTGAAATTGTTGAAGCAAGTTAAAATACAAATGGATATTTCTAATGATGAACTTGTATAAATCATTTTATAAATTGTTCCAATAAGAAAAATATTTCTTTAATTCTCTGCATATTATTCAGCTGGTGATTAACCTATATCATGAAATGGAATTACCTAACGCCATCTATTCGTTTTCAGAAAATAATCAGCATAATATTTAGCAGGAATGCTTAGTTTTATCATGCTAATTCTAAAAATATATAAATATTTTTATTTGATTCATCTGAAAAAAAAAATATATATACTCACACAATGCATTTAGAAATACCCACTAAATATATAAGTACAATTATTTTATCAGAGAGTAGATCCTTATCTTCATTTAAGCCATTGCTGTCTGTTCTTCAAAAAATACTACTAAATGAAAACTGAATCAAGTACTACAACATTAGAAGGATTAAAGTATGAATCGTTTTTGAGAATTTCATACGATATCAAAATTTTATAATGTATTTTCTTTTCATTTATAGTAAAAAACCATCATTTGGATTATATTTAAAGAAATCAATAATACCAATCGTTATTCTTCTCAGTATTTTTATCATTTCTACAAAGGTATTAGATTTTCTCCTTGCTCTTCAAAAAGGTACTCAATCAACAGATGGTTTTGATTGAATAATATGTATATCGAAATTTTTAATTTAATTTAGGCAATAATGATTTATGTCAGAGTCAATTTTGTATTAAAGCAGGTAAATGTTTTATTAGATGAAAAACAAAGAATACACGATTCTATTTTCTTCCATAGCTAATCATCTCATCAACAGTATTGATCAATCAGTTGATCCATGTGACAATTTTTATCAATTTACTTGTGGAAAATGGCTCAAAAATAATAGAACATCTGAGGATGGTAAATAAAACTGTTTGTTTTGTGAAACATCATTTATAATTAATTTAGAAGATAAATGGAAATTTCCTGGTATAATACTTGATGAAAATATTATTGGTAGGTTCTTATACAATTGTTGTTCTTTAATATAGTTATGATTTTTATGTAGATTTACTATCGACAAATGAAACAGTTAAACTTCAATCTGTAATGAATGCTCGTATTTTATATAGTTCATGTATTAATGAAACAAATATTGAAAAAGAAGGAATTGATCCTATTTTATCATTAATTAATACTCAGTTTGGTGGTTGGCCTATATTACAAGGTTCATCATGGAAAAGTTCAACATTTAATTTAACAAATCTATTACTTAAACTTCATCAATACAATTATAATTTTATTTTCTCGATATCTAGTGAAGTTGATGAGAAAAATTCATCAGCAACTACTATTTTTGTAAGTTCAATTGATTATCTAACGAATTGAATTATATTAATAGTAATTTATTGTAAACATAATATTACTTTAGATTGGTCAAGGTAGTCTTGGATTATCACAACGTCAATATTATGCAAAGGAAACTAATATTACAATTGCTTATCGACAATTTATGTATAGTGTAGCCAAAGCATTAACAAATGATACTTTAATGATCGATCAAGATATAAAAGAAATATTCGATTTTGAAAAGAATATTTCAAAAGTTAGACTTCATCATGTTATCTATGCGTGTTATATTTTATGTTCTTTGCTATTTAGTATCATTGGACTTATGATGAACAACAAGCTCGATATAATAAAACAATTCGAACAACAATTTCTGATCTTTCTCGTACATTAAAAACTAGTGTAAGTCTTTCTTGTCCTTATAAATTATTCTTCTTTTTATTGTTGAACAGTTTGATTTTACTACTTATATTCGTCACCTATATTTGTTTGGCAATGTAATTCTAAATGAATTCGATCTTGTAACAATAAAAGAATTAGATTTTTTGATTAATGTTGTATCTATTATGAATAAAACTTCATCACGTATTATTCAAAATTATTTTATATGGCGTTTTCTAATGAATCAATCAGAATATATGCCAAAATATATTCGTAATATTAAAGAACAGTTTCATCAAGTTTTTCAAGATACTTATGTTGAAGAATTAAGAACAGTAAAATGTGCTGTTTATGTTAATAAACATATGGGTTTAGTAGTTTCAAAACTTTATATAAAAAAAAAATTTATTGAAGAAAATGCTCGTAATCAGGTATCGAAAATAAAATATCTAAATCTTAAATTTCATATTATGACTATAGTCGTTAAAAATGATTGAAAATATTCGAAATTCGTTTATGAGTCTTATCAATCAATCTTATTGGATGGATGATACATCAAAAATGAAAGCAATAGAAAAAGTAAATATTCATAATTGCATATAATCACTGTGAACAAAAGAGAAAAACCATAAATAATATTTTAGGTTAAAGCCATGGATAAAAAAATTGCTTATCCTGATTATTTAGCTAGTGATAATAATACAAAACTTGAAAATGATTATTCGTTGGTATGATTTTAAATATATGTTTTGAATATAATTAGTCTACGATTTAGTATGTTTTCAATACATCTTATATTTATAATACTTTCAAAATTCATCAAATGAAAGCTATAGAAAACTTTCAATTTCTTCGAAAACCTGTTGTTAGAAAAGCATGGCCATCTATTTCACCAACTATTATTAATGCATATTATGATCTCTCTGAAAATCAAATTAGTATGTACATATTTTCATGATTGATAAGTACTGATTGTTATCTGTAGTTATTCCGGCTGGTATTCTTCAAATGCCATTCTTTCATAAAGATGCTCCAAAGTAAAAACTAAACGATTCATTATTAAAAAAAAATAATAAATTTAACATCTTCATTTATTCTTTTAAGATATCTTAATTATGGTGGTATGTATTATTCAATATTGACGAAATAAATAGAAATAATTACTTAAGGCATTGGGATGATTATTGGACATGAGATTACACATGGATTTGATAATACGGGTCGTCAATTTGATAAAGATGGAAATCGAATACCTTGGTGGACAAATGAAACAATTGAAAAATTCAATGAACGTAAACAATGTTTTATTGAACAATACAGTAACTTTAGTATATCAGAAGTTAATATGAATGTTCGTATCATTTTAAAATGAAATTTTCTGTTGTTATTATTATTATTTTGGTATTTAGAGCAATGGTAATCAAACACAAGATGAAGATATTGCTGATAACGGTGGACTTAAAGCTGCTTTTTATGTAAGTTGTTTATTTAATTTAAATATAGATATTTATTTTCAATAAATATTCTCTTTCATAGGCATATCAAAATTGGATTAAAAATAATGTAAATATTGACAAAAAATTACCAGGTTTAACACAATATTCAAATGAACAAATGTTTTTCATCCATTTTGGTTATACTTGGTGTACTAGGTTAAGTGTATCACATATATTCAATAGGCTTATAACTGATGTTCATTCGCTTGCACATTTTAGGTAATTTTATGTTTATTCTTTTGCTATCACAGATATTATTACTATTATTACCGAATTCTATTTCAGAGTAATTGGTTCTACATCAAATTTTGATGAGTTTGATCAAGTATTTGGTTGTAAGCCAGGCCAAAGAAATAGTCGAGTGAAAAAATGTATTGCTTGGTAGTTATATATTTTTTTTCTATTTTGAAACAATAATTCAAAATTGTTTGTTTTTTTTTCCTTAATAAATTTTAACCTTTGTGAAATGTAGGCTGAAATATGAAAACATTAATTTCATATTATTATTCAACTTGAAATACAACTAATTATTTAACATTGGCTACGTTTTATTTTTCTGATTTATTGAAATAAGACAAAATTGAATGATAAAAAAAAACTAATAGAATGACTTCATATTGTATTATCTATTTTCTAAAGAAAACTCGAAAAACAGAAACGAGATTTATATTAATATTTGTTATGCATTGTGTTCTCTTCTTAGTAACATTGCCAATATTGAATCAAGTCAGAGTTCAAAGAAACGTACATTCTAAATTCTTTAATACCGTTCATGTTACATTTTCTCACAGTTATAGTTAATTCGAACAGTTAATATTTGACGCGAATTTCAGTCTATAATCAAACAAATATATGTTGTAATTAGGAAGCATTGATAGATATTTCATTTGAATATTTTCATATTAGTCAGTAGCACACAACTCAAAATGACAATTGTCTGTATTTAATCGAACCGAACTTGAGCATGACTGATACGTAACATGAGTTACATTGATTTCTTTTTTTGTTCTATTTGTGATAGACTTCTACTCATTTTCTAGAAGAATTACACTGTGTTCTACACATCGATCGCAATTGATTTTCAACAACAATCATTTTGGGTGTGGGTGTTTATTTTCTCTTGATCCACACCCACAATCAGATCTTGTTGCTATCGTGCTCTCCATCAATGAAAAGAAATATGTGGTTGATTATAATGATTAAACGAATACTAAAGTGTTTTTTCCTTTCTAAAACAGATGATTTCTTTCAATAATAGAAATACTTTTCCTACACAAACAAAAATAATAATATTTTAACGATTTGAAAAACTCTTAAGCTTTTTTTCGAAAAGTCCATCTATCAATTATTTTTGCTTGAATTTAGTTTATACTAGCAGCTGATATGGTGAAAAATTTTCTTTCAATTCACTATATAAAATATAGTGCGTAATTCAATTGATTTTAAAAAATTGAAGCTTTGCATTATATTTTTATCAAATGCTAAACATTTATAAAAGACAATCCATGTACTGTGAACGTTAGTTAGCTGAAAGGCAATAGAATAGTAAGAGAATAAAGTATAACATGAAACAGGATCTGATTGGTTTAAACTAGCAAGTATAAGTTACATTTACTGTTGTATGCAGCTTTTAAACGTAGCTTATCTCAACCCATATCTTAGTCAAAATTTACCTAATAAGAACGAACAAGAAATTCGAACATTATCAATATCTATATTTTACCATGCGAAAAAAAAAATTTCACAAAGTACAAAGTAACTAGTAGTTCTTATCATGACACTTTCACAATTTATCATTATTTTGTCTAAACAAATAATTCCAAAAGCATCAGAAAATTACAAAACAACCTATTATCAACTCACTCAAACGATAATAACTCACACAACACACCATATGTTTAACAGACATTACAACATTGCCAAACATCTCAAACATTTTCATTTATGTCAACCAATAGTAGTCTAGGTCTTCTTACATTACCGGTAGAACTTGTCTACCGAATTCTGGATCATATGGAAGATTTAGATATTTTCTGTTTCACGCGAAATGTTTGTAGGTGCATGAATGCAATAGTTGACAGTTACCATCGATATCAGGTAAACCACCACTATGCATGAAAATCTGCCTTTCATAATCTTTAACATATCATCCTGTATCTAACACATCAATTCATATAATGTCTCACAAGACTGTTCTCTATAGCTAAAGAATAATTATCTTTTGTAGCTGTGTGGGTGTACGTATAGAGTTGGATGTGAATTTGAGTGCGGATGAATTCAGAATCCACACACACAGCCGCTTCTAATCAAACAAGCACACCGACACCTCGTACATAAACCGAACAAAACTTATATACCTGCTGACATTTTTCACCCTATCTTCCCCGTAAACCAGTATTCCAATGTTGACTAATGAAATCGAAAATTTTACAAATGAATCAATCACGAACATCTATATGTCCCATTGCCGTATTCGTTCGTTACTCTTTCGTTCACTTAACCGTTCTTCTTCCTACACATAGACACTAACAAGATTGGACCTGAGATACAGGTATATCTCTCAACCAATGCTAGCGCATCTTGCTAGAGCTCTTGAACAAAATCAAGTAATATTCTCAGCTTTTCTCTTTACCATTCAGTCTTCGTTCAAGATAGACACTAACCACACTAAATCTTAGTGAAAATAAAATTGGTGAGCAAAGAACACAATATCTGGCCAAAGCTCTAGAAATAAACAAAGTAATAGCTTATCTTCTCACTCTATTATTTACTTTCAATTCAAAACAGACACTAACTACACTGGATCTCAGCTGGAATCAAATTGGTAATGAGGAAGCGAAACATCTTAGTAAAGCTCTGGAACAAAACCAAGTAACATCCTCACTTTTTCTCTTTATCATTTATTCTTTGTTCGAGATAGACATTAGTCATACTAAAACTCCATTATAAGGGTGGGTTTGGGTGTGGGTGGGATGTGGATGTGGGTGGGATGTAGGTGTGGGTGTGTGTATGAAAAATTAACAGCCAAATCCATACCCACACCTACATCCCACCCACATCCACATCCCACCCACACCCACACGCACCCATACCCACCCACTCACACCCCACTCACATCCACACCCTACACCCACATCCATACCCACACCCACAGCCCACAGCCCACACCCCACACCCACACCCTCGATACATCCCTAGAACGATCGATCTATGCAAAACTGTTGTCTCGTATAA